ATTGCAGTGGACGTGGCTTTGAGACTGTCACAGCACAGGTATATTTCATTCTGGTAGTAGATTCAGTTTTTAGGTTAGTATGTGTTGTGTATGTTGTTGAAGCCCTAATAATACTTTGAGTCAAGTTCTGCCCAGACTTAAGCTCCATGCAAACCTCTTCTCACATAGTTAGTACTGAACAGGTAGAAATTGGGGCAGAAATTGACCATGAATCTTGCATAGCTCGCTTTGGGTACGTCTAGACTACATGCCTCTGTCACCAGAGGCACGTAGATTAGGCTACCTGACATAGGAAAATGAAGCAGCGATTTAAATAATAATAATTGCCGCTTCATTTAATTTAAATGGCTGCCACACTGTGCCGATCAGCTGTTTGTCAGCATAGTGAGGTAGTCTGGACGCGCGGGGGTCGACATCAAAGGCATTTGTTGACCTCTCAGGTATGCCTCCTTCATTTTCCTATGTCGGGTAGCCTAATCTACATGCCTCTGGTGACAGAGGCGTGTAGTCTAGATGTACCCTCAGTCTGTAGCTCTTGAAACCCCTTACAAAGCTGGGCAAGTATTATTTGTGTTTTACAGGTAGGTGGATGAGGAATACTGAGGCTTGATTTACAATGCAGAGTTAGGTTCATGTAAGGCAGCTTACATCAACCCCTTATGTCAGTGTCTACACTGCAGCCTTGCTCTTGCTAGTATAAGTGTCCTGCTGTATTGACATACTTGCTACACCTCCATGAGAAGTGTAGCACTTATGTTCGTGTAGTTAGGATGTCACAGTGTCCATGTAACACTACCATGTAGTTAGTCTATAAGGTGCCACAGGACTCCTCGTCGCTTTTACAGTGTCCATGTAACACTCTCGAATGTTGGGCTGCATGTGGCTCAGCGCACAGTTGTGGCCCAGATGTGAGCACTAAAAAATGTCTGGTGGGGTCTGGGCTGCCTGGTGGGGAAGGCTCTGGGTCTCTGACACCTGGTCTGTATATGGAGCTCTGCTCCTGGTCCAACTCTGGAGGAGTCTTAGGGGTCTAAAATGAAATGTGGGGGAGGGCATTGTGGTTCTCAACCTGCTGTCCGCAGTGATCAATAGGTTGAGAACTACTGATATAAACAATTCATTATTGACATTGGCGGTTGGCTGTCATTCTTGTCAGTTTCATAGTGCTGCTCTGCCATACCAGGCTCGCAGTTGGAGCTGTGAAATTGACAAGACTGGTAGGCTACCTACTATGAAATTATGGCTGGTATCTGAATCACAGTCCCTCTCTCCCCAAAAGCTCACAGCTGGGTATGGGGCTCACACAGCCGAAACCCCTGCTCTCCACCCTACAGTGACAGCCCAAGCTTTGACCCCCCCTACAACAGGGAACCTTCAAGCCTTCCTTGTCGATTTCATAGATTCAGCTGTGAGCTTCTCTTGAGCCTGAGGCATTTATAAAATCGACAAGAAAGTCTGGTAGGCTCTATGCTGTGAACATTAAACCATGGTCACAGCTCAGGGCTGTCACTCCAGTTAACTAATTAAGCAGGATTTTACATCCTTATGCCTACCTACAAGTGATCTTGTTCAGGAAGACTGCTGGAGTTTGGTGGGGTGGGGGAGGGGAGAAGATAAATTGGGATCTGATGAGGGAGTTGGTTTAGCGCAGGCATGTCCAAAGTCCGGCCCGCGGGCCAATTGCGGCCCGTGTTCTGGTTTAATACGGCCCCCCAGGTAATTTGGCAATATCTATCTTTTATGGCCCCCAACGAATCCATATGTATTGAGATGAATACATTGTAAAATCTCAGTTAATGTCAGTTGGTCTAAATCAGTTATAAATATATTTGGACACAACATGTATAGTTGGTGTTATGTTCCTGTTCATATTTTTTGAACTTAAAAGTTGACAGACAACCTTTATTACCAATAATATGTAATGTACTTTACAATGTTCCTGACATATATTTCAGCTTCCTGGATTTTTTTTTCATCTGGCCTTCAGATATGAAAGGCAGAGTGATTTAACACCTGTTTAGATTTGTCATCCATGTGACGAAATGAAAAGTATGCCGTTTGCAATAAACTTTGCATAAAATAGTTAATTTGCATTTAATTTTAATGGTTCAAAGAATGTCAGGCAAAATGGTCGGCCCTCACGCATGTTCACTTCATCAAATCTGGCCCTCTTTGAAAAAAGTTTGGGCACCCCTGGTTTAGCTGCTGTGGCAAGGAGTGGATCTGGCCAGCAAGAAGGCATTTTTCTGAGTATGGCCCCCCACAGCCTAATGAGGAGAGGCAAGGCTGCTTGTATGAATTGCCCTTGTGCATTCAGCAGAGAGTACTAGAGTGTATGATGGGGTGGATTATAACAAGTCAGCTAACCAACTCCAAGGGGAGTTGGGGCTGGTGCCTGTGAGCATTGAGAAGATGCTGCCTCAGCTAGGAGCACAGACAGTTAGGTAACTGCCCGGACCACCTTGTTACAGGGCTTGTGGTCAAGCAAACTCCACCAAGCCCTGAGATATGCCTGCCCACACAGGCTTTTCCCTTGGGACTCCAGCCTGAGAGGCAGCTATGCCACATGCTAGGATGCACTGAAGAAGGAAAGGCAACAAGGAGGAAAGGCAGTGCTTCCAACAAGCATTCAGGGGTATTCTCCTTGGCCTGGGAGTTTGCACAGCACCCCACACCCTCATCTGACCCCAACACTTGGTCCAGCTTGGTGCTCCCTTCCGGTGACAGTAATCTGCACTCCTGGCTGGAACCATGTTGGGATGTAGGCAGAAGTCCTCTTCTGCACCCAAATTCCCTCCCAGAGTTTGCACATCTCATGGCCTTCTGCTCCCAGATCTCTTGGTCCTGGCCCTTACTCCCTGTCCCAGCCCAGTGAAAGTGAGTGAGGGTAAGGGAGAGCCAAGTGATAGAGAAAGGGGGCAATGGAGTGGGAGGGTGGGGCTTGGGGACTAGGCTTATTGGGTAGTTGAGTCACTACTTGACTAGTTCCCCCTGTCCCCCTCCCTTGCTGCCTCTGTATCAGAGGCACCAAGGGGGAGGGGAGCAGGAGCTGATGCTGGGGGGAGTTGGCTTAAAAGC